CTACAAGGATGTTGTGGGAGACAGCATCAAAGGCCTTGCTGAAATGAAGGTAGACGACATCCACTGCTCTCCCCTCATCTACCCAGCTGGTGATGACATTATAAAAGGCCACCAGATTGGTCAAGCATGATTTCCCATTAGTAAAACCATGTGGACTATTCCTGATAACCCTCTTTTCTTCCAATTGCTTAGAGATGGTATCAAATTGGTATCAAATCATTGGACAATAATGGAAGAAAAAATCAAGCAAAATGTTCAGGAAGCTATTTGGAAGGTAGCAAGGAGATAAGTGACAGCCACAGTGGGTTTGTTGAGAACAGCTGTCAAACCACTCCAGCTTCATTTCCCAGTGCAGTAACAGGCCTTAGGAACAGAAGAAGCCAAAGACATCTGGCATTTGGTTTTCAGTATGGCTTTTGACAGTGTCTTGATATACTCAGAAGCAAAATACATAGGCCAGGAGAAGTTGATATTAAGTGCACAGAACAGTCTCTTGGATAATCAGAGTGCAGTTACCATTTTTGGACAGGAACAATATATTGAGTGAAGATTTGTCTCAAGTCCAATACTCTTTAATATTTCCAATGGGTGAAAGAAAAGTGTTTCAGCTCATTAAATCTGCTGACATTGGGATAATCTGCAAGGATACTGAAGGGCACAATTAGAATGAAAAATAATACTGGAAAATCAGAGATATAGGCCAGGAAGAACTGGATTTCAGATACAGCAGTTTGGTGACAGTGGCTGCAAATTTTTGTGCTTTGGAATAGTCAAATGCACAAATATATGCCAAGTGACTGGGCAGCACCATTGAGAAAAAGAGAGGAGCCTAGCAGTCAGCTATACCCTTCTGCAAGCAAAAAGCCAGACTACATACTAGTACATATAAACAACAGCACTGACCGTTAGAGAGGTGAAATTACATTTCTACTCTGGCACTGATCAGGCTGTGGATGGAATATAGTGCCCAGTCTGGGGCTCCTGTATTCACTAATATTGTGGACCAACTACAGGGAGTCTGGAGGAAAAGAGTAGAAATGATCAGAGGACTAAATAAAGTGTAGTCATCAGGGAAGAGCTGAAGGATACAGAGTCATGCAGAGAGGACAGAAAGAAACATATTAGCTGTCTTCAAAAATGTAAGAGCTATAAAGAGGAAATGAATTTCCCTTGTGGGTGGATCAAAAGTACCACTTTTAAATTGCAGCAAGAGATGTTTATATTCACTAATAACTTTCTACTGGTAATGGAGTTAAGTGCTGGAATAGATGCCTGGAGATACTGTAAAATGTCACTAAAGACATCTCTAAAGACTGTTTTTAGGAACAGGTAAACAATATTTACCCACAAACATTAATTTGCCCCTGAGAAGGCAAATGGACTAGATGACCTCGCCAAGCCCTACCTATCCCTATTTTCAATTTCTAATCTATACATTGAATGCTTAGGGATGGTATTCTGAAAGTAGGCAGTTCACATTAATAACAATTTTAATGGTGCCCATTTACCTGCTTTTGCAAACAAGGAAGTATGTAATTCCCTGGTTGCCTGGGCTGAGCTACAGATCTGTCATTCCAGAAGTACCTAAATGCAAAGTTTAAAAGAAAGGTGAAGCATGTAGTGAAATCTGTGAAAGTGGAAAATTTACACGAGGGATTTATTTTATAAATATCAAGACATTGCATATGTCCATTGCATAACTTTGCTTTGGAATAAAAATATTTTAATAATGACAGAAACAACAGAAATATGCTCCTGAAGGTATGAAGACAAATTTGGAAGAATATATGGAAGTTACCAATTAAAAGCTTGCCTTCCCCAAATCAGAGGAGTAAACCAGCTGCTCTAATATGTACAGGCTGCTCTGTTTGCCAGCTGTATAGGATGATGCTATTGCTAAGGATATGCTTCAAGATCATGAATTCACAGTGTTTAACTAAAACTGCTGCTGCTTTAGTTCCTCTCCAGTGGAAAAGGAACTGCTTGCAGCAGAGTATTACAGCCTTGCTTTTAAAAATATCTGAAAAAGTTGTATATATTTGCAAAGACAGAGACAGTTTAAAAGGAAAAAGGATGGAATTTAAACAGTTTGAGCAATATTATTTCAAAGATCTGTAAAACAACACTGTAACTAGCCATAAAGAGTTCCATTCTGTAAAATTAGCAGCAGATTACTACATACTTAAATTATCAAGGCCTTAAGTTGTAAATCAGTTTTATCAGTGACAAAAAAGGTGAAAGAATAAAGAGAAGATGGCTAAAAGTCTAGAATCAACTCATGCTGGAAGCGAGCAAAAATCTAAATGTAGGTCAATGATAGCCAAGTCTATCATTGCCCAATGAATGTAAGAAGAGGTGAATTCCCTTCAAGGTGCTAAAAGCTCCACTTGCTCTGTTCTGTATCTGACAGGATTGGTGACTAACAGCACTGGTTCTAGAAATACAAGTCCTCTAAACAAAGCAGACAAGCGGCATTCACTAAAGTAACCATACACTGTAACATATGCTATTACCACCACCTATGAAAGGCTGACAGGAGAGTATGAATGTTCAGTCAGTTAGACTTTAAGGCTTTGCTTTGACAGAGTTTGACACAATGAACTATTTATTGTAGCTGTGAGAAACCTGCTTTGACACAGAATGATTTAGGGCAAGAAGCACGCAGTGCTTGCTGAAGGAGATCCATCTGTTTACACAAAAAACAATTAAAGATATGCAAAACCGCTCTGAAAGTAAGTGCCGGGCAGCTACCTAGGATGCCACAAGGAGGATAGCCCACAGTTCAAAACAGCTCTTTAGTGGCTGGAAACTTTCAGTCCTGGTTCAACACAGCATTCTGATGCTGGATGGCCCTCTGCTGCAACTTCTGAGCTGACTTCTTCTTCTCATGGAAGGACACCTTCCCATGCTGAGAGCAGTAGGAACCAAGGACAAGCAAAGCTACATTTTTTGCTCAGTATATAAACATGGCAAGAACAAAATCCAAGGAAACAATAAATTTAAATATTGGATACATTTTGCATTTATAAATGAAGAAGCAAAAGAGACTTATTTTGTTTAAATACTAAGCACAATTATGAGATACTGCTAAAAATATTTAACAAATCTATAAAGCTTTTATGTAATGAAATATTTCCTCTTGAAACTGGGTCTAAGCCATCAGAAACAGTTCCCTCTTCAACACTGTTCATAACTGACATTGCAAATGGTATTCTCACTACTCTACTAGTTGAACTAGTTAGTTGAACTAAGCATCCATTGCAGCAAAAGTGCTGGGTGTCCACTTAGACACAATGTTCTACTACCATAGGGTTCTTGCTACAGCTCTTGTCAAAAGATTCATTTGGTTTTGGATAATAGTGCATAAAGACAAAATAA